GTGAGACCAAGATCGGCATAGACATCTTCTCTGGCTCCTGGGTAGAGAGTGTCCATCAGCCAGCTCCAATAAAACTTTGTTTGTTCCTGCCTTTTTCAGTTATCTTGTCAGTACCTTTCTGGTTTTCTTATGAGTGCCTTTCTTGTTGAACTTGCCCACTCTATCAATTTAACCTCTCTTCCCCTCCTTATTTACAAAGCCTTGTTTCCATTTTATCCTTCTTTTATCATTTTTTTTTCTTTTCCCTTCCTTTTCCCCTCCCCACTCCCTAGTTTCTATTTCTCTTGAACAATTTCTTCCTATGTTGCAATACCTATTACAAACTTTGGTCTTTATTTAGACTGTTGGTTTCTCACACCAGAGAAATATGAATGTCCAAATTTATTTCACTTAACAATATGGTCTCAAGTTGCATTGTACTCTAACCACATGATGGGGCTTTCTAGACACTATCAATATAGATAAAAAGAGAAATCTCTAGAAGAGCTCCAGTAATACCCCGATATAACAAGAGTGTCAGATCGCAAGCTGTGATTTTCCAGGATGCAGCAGCCTTGCAGAGAGCAGACAAGCATTTCATGTGCCTGACCTGCTGAACAGCAGAGCTCAACCTTCCTAGCCTTCCATAAGCATGCCCAGAACACTTTTATTAGCCTACAGGTGCACAAAATCATTGAACCCAACCTATTTTATATTAAAATGTTGAGCATTTAATTGGTCAAATATCTATATTCAAAAATGAATGGCAAAGTATCTGTTGTGTACCCTTGTGGTCCCACGGCTGACGAGGAGCTGAGGCTTGTTGTTGCTGCCCTGAAACTCAAGGGACTGTCCTGCTGCTATCACTACCCTAGGAGTAGGTCAACATTCAAAATGTGAAGCTCTATACTGTTTATAGTAAGTAAATATCACTTTCATACCTTGGCAGTGTGGGAAAAATCTTAGGCTGAAACATTTTGTCTTCGTTACTTTTCTCTTGTTGCTGAGACAAAATACTCATTGCCCAAATTAAAGAGGGAAAGGTTTGTTTAGCTCACAGTTTGTGGAGGTTTCATTCTATAATCAGCTGGCTCCAGGGTGGTGTGGCAGAGGGGCAACCTTTCATGGCAGTGGAAGATACCAAAAGCAGTAAGAGCAAAAAGGGGCAAAAGGGAGAAGCAAGCCTCTTTCCCTCTGTTATATATGCCGGCTACCCACCGCAGGGCAAGTGGAGCACTCACACCACCAAGCCCAGCACTAGACAATGAGCCAGTCACAAACTCTAGATTCAGTCACCTCCACAAAGCCCACCCCCATGACCACCTGAGGCCTTGTGGTAGACATCCAGACCCAAACCACAACACATTGTAAGTCTGAGGCTGTTCGCGCTTCTGTAGTTTTCTATTAAAAACAAAGAAGCTATGTGTAATGAATTTGAAATCTGATGCCATAAGGATCAAGATCTGCAAACTACTGCCCTCTGATTGAATATGTCCTGCTTTCGAGCTAGGGATATAGCTCAGTGGCACAAGCACCTGCCTGAATATGTCCTGCTGCCTCTTTCTGTAAATATAATTAATTTGGAACATAACCACATATTTTCCTTCCTCACTGTCAATGACTACATTCCTGCCATGATAACAGAACCACTTGTTGCAGAGACTATGATGAGAGATTGATGTGGTGTCTTAAGTTAGAGGCCAGAGGATGAAGGGAGGATAGAGATGAGATTATTTCAACTGACAGTTTCAAGTTAAATCAATAAAGAAAAAGAAAACACTGCTCCATATTCCTTTCCTGTATTTTGAAGATGACCCACAAAGGCAACAATGCATTTTGATTTTGAAACCAACCAACCAACCAAGAAGAAACAAAATCCTTTATGGACTATCCTCCTATCCAGAGACTTGCCCTCTTCACCTTGTCCTGCCCTTTACCTAGATCTATAGCCAGTATAGGTTTAGTGTAAATGATTTATATTTTATCGACCCCAGATTTCATTATAAAATACCCTTTTCCTTAGATCTGGTAGACATTTTCCCAACTGTTATCTAGCTATGCTGCTGGTAGCTTAGGGAATTTGTCTGAGGGTTGATCCTTTCATTGTTGGCTACCACCTGTAACAACTCAATAAACTATTTCAGAGATACTTGGTCTCAAAAGTTTTATTTAATAACTACACAAATAGTGCAGCCTTAAATATTTCCTGTCTCCTTACACAAAAGACTTGCTGGCCCATTGCATAAGAAGACACATATTGATACAAGGACACGAGAAATGCTGCAACCAGTAAAGAGTACCTCAACACACAACAACAAAATATTGTACTTTCTGTGAAATAAACGCAGAGCAGAAAACAGATTTACCCTTTCTTCTTCCACTCAGAAAAAATGCTCATAAATTAGCAGAGAGAGAATGGTAAGGACCAAAAAAGAATGCACAGAACACAAAACCTGCCTACCCCAATCAAGTCCTTTTCCTTCCTTGGATGTGGCCAATAATCCTGGGACACCTATCTAGGGAACCCTGGGGTCTTACAACCCATCCCCTCTGCCCTTCCGGTTATTTCCTGTTGGACCACTGAGGCAGCCAGAAATGAGGCTCAGGTGGCAGCCTGAAGTGTTCTTAAGTGTCAGAACCCCTGGCAATGAGAACTCAGAGCATAGGTCCCTCCTGTGCGAATATAAGGCATTTGTTCCAAGGGAAACTTGTCAATTAGAGAGAAGAAAGAAGGTTGACAAAGCTGTGAAAACACAGGCACTCCATTCCCCAGGACCCAAGAGGGCTCTCGGAGGAGACCAAGTAGGGCTGTAGCTTATTTTGTGTGCTGATGGGTTTTGGATGAGGGTTGCATTCTGGGGAGGGGGTCGAGGGGGACACAAGAGACAGGTCTGGGAAAGGCAGCAGGCTCCAGGTAACGTGCCCTCCACACCTCCAGAGATGAAGATCTGCTTCCTTGTGGTCAGCGGCTCTGCCAGTTGAGCAGCGTCTGGGTCTGGGTTTTTAGTGCTTGCTGGAGCGGGGCTGGCGGCTCAGGAACATCAGAAATCACAAGGAAGGCTGGGTCCTGGGCGCTGGGCTTGGATAGCGTGGACATGTGGAGAAAGATACAGTGGAGGGTGGGGTCCTCCACTGTAAAACCAGACGACAGAACCAGACGCTGTGGACCTGATTTAATGTCACTCTTGAGCTGTCCTTATCAGCTCTCCTCCAGGTTTCCAGTGAGGGCTTCCTCTCACCCACAGCTGACAGCAGGCAGGCGGGTGGCCAGGGGGTAGGGGCCCCAGGCACAAGCAGCCCAGAAGCCTCGCAGCCTCCTTGCAGTCACCGCAAAGAAAACGGCAACCTCGAAGGACGATGAAGAGACGACCATCCCTAGCCAGCGAGTAGGTGACAGGGGTGAGCCCACCAGAGCCCACGAAGCCCGGAAGAGTAGTTTCCCGGGCTGGGCGTCTGGAGCGGTGGGACGAGGGCGCCGGCCTGGGAGGCGAACTCTGCACTCTGCGAGGAGACCGCTGCTGATTCCGGCGGTATCCTGGAAGCGACGCCGGCTCCCACGGAATCTGGAAAGGGACCACCGGAGCGAGTTCAGCCCGGTGATGAGTTCAGCCCGAGTTCTCCCGGTTGGGAGACGGGCCCTGACCTTGGAAATCAGTCCCAAATGACCAAGCCCAGTCTCAACCTTCGTGCTGTGTCTCCCGCGCAGCTTCTTGACACACAGCGCTGCGCTTTAAACGCAGGAGGACCCAGCTCCATTGGCAGCGGGGACACCTCCCCAAGCACCGCCCACCCGTCGCCAGACGCCCCTGCCTGCTGTCTCTGTCCAGAGTATTCAACCACAAGGGTGTGCGGCAGATGGCCCCATGCAACCTGTGGGCTCGCGGATGCCTGCCTGGGTGTCCCCGGCTGCGCTACGCAGCCCAAAGCCTCGCTGCTGCTGCGCGGCCCTGGCGGCCGTCTGTGCGCGAGCTTTATCACCTCCCCAGCCTCTGTCCCAGGACAATCGAGACTCTTTGTTTTAGCCCCAGCCCCCACTGTTGTTTAATCCACGATGCCTAGGACGACTCTTGGCGCATAGCAGATACTCAAAAAAGTGCTTGTTGAATAATGAATAATGTTGTATAATTCCTTTTGTGTAGAACTTCACACAAAATCAGTATGTAGGACATTTTGTAGAGACTATCATGAGAAATTCCCAGCCAAATATGGCTGTATATGCTGTCATCCCAGCACTTGGGAGGCTGAGGCAGGAGGATCACAAGTGTAAGGCCAGCCTAGGCTACATAGTGAGAGCCTGTCTCAACCCGACACCCTATCTTCTCCCCCCAAAAAATTCCCCATGACCCAGAGCCAAAGTTAGAAACTCAGGCACCTAGTATGGTGGAATCAGCTGACATCAGAGGAGGTAACAGACTTTATAAAAAGCGTGTACAATTTTCCAGGTGTTTCTCTTATAATTATTTACTCACTTGAAAATGGCTTATTAATATACAAAAATTCACACACAAATACACAGCCCACACATAGATCCATACCACTGGCCCTGTCCCAATTACTTGATTATTTTGTTGAAATCTCCCCCACCAAACCAGGGCTCTGACAGGAGTAGTGTGTTCACTTAACCTACTGCTGGATTTATCAAATATCCCAGATTAACACCCTCTCCCTATAAAGCAATATTATTTGTCTGATCTGGCTTTTCTCCCTCCAATTTCTTTTATCATTACAGCTCTCTGAAGTCCACACTAAATACAGTGATTCCGGCGTTTTCCTGCTATACTGACTTATTAAGAAAAGCAACTCTAGATTCTTTAAACAGAATTACTAAAGTGAAACATCTGAGAGCCAAGGCCGAGGTGTCCGGCGCGACGCCTTTCGGCAATGAGTGAGCAGTTTCCGCGGGCTTGGGTCTCCCTGCTCCAGGACCCTGGTACCGGCTCCTCTCAGCCTCGGGAGCCGCTCCCAGAGCTCCCCGCGCCTCGGCTGTACGGCGGAACCTTTTCAAGATGGCCGCACCCACAGGCACTGTGGGCGCCGCCATTGAGGCCGCGGGATCAGCTGAGGCCGCGTTGGGGGTGGGCGCCATGTCGGCCTCCGGTTGCCACAGGATCCTGACAAAACCAGAGGCTGTGGACCAGAAGAGTGCGAGGACAGCCGAGGAGGGCAGGCATCCGCCCGAGATGGCTGCGTCTGAACCCGAGTGCAGTGGCGCGGTGAGGGCGGTAATGGGTAGGCGGCAGTTTGGGTCTCAGAGATGGTCAGTGATCGACAGGTTTCTGTAGTTTTGCGAAAGCAAGATTTGGGAATTGCTGGGGCTGAAACCGGAGAGTCTTTTGGGAGGTCAGTGTTCCGAGGGATCTGGGTCGGTGCTAGTAGGGGTGTGTGGAGTCAGGGATTGATTGCTACTTTTAGAAAACCGCTGTTTTGAGGGATCTGCGCAGATAGTGATGGCGGAGACACTGACAGGTCGGCGTTGGGAAAGCGAGGGGATCAGAAGCGGCGCTTCGTGACGTTTCAGTGGTTGGGAAGGTCTGTGAGGCTTAGTGATTTAGAATGTCTGTGGGAACCAGCGATGGTGGGTATCTGTGGTGGTTGGAGACTGAACTGTTACAGGGAGCAGTGTTGGAGAGTTTGAGGAGTTAGGTGATGAGAGATGGGGAGGATCAGAGATTGGGGCTTTGGAGGGTCAGTGATGGTAATGACTGTGGAAGTCTGATTAGCAGTATCTTTAAGCGTCAGTGATTAGTGTGCTGTGATGGGTAGTGGGGGAACTTGGGTATAGGGTGGGACAGTGGTTTGTGGAATGTAGGGAGTCAGTGTTGAGATGTCTGTGGATAGGGCTGATAATTGTGAGTCATTTGGGGAGAGAAGATCGTCACTGATAATTAGGTGGTGTCCACTGAGCTGTTAGTGTTGAAGATGGTGTTAGTAAGGGTTGATGATTAAAGGTCCTCTATTTTTCTGTGCCGTAGAGTCCTGAGAGGGCCAGGGGTTTGGGAGATTGCAGGGTTTAGTGGTGGAAGGTTCTGTTAGGGGTCAGATTGGAGTGTTCTGGAGGTTAATGATTGATCTGTGATAATGCTATTTGGGAGACAGTAGGGCTCCATAACTAATGGAAGTTTGCAAAGGTTAGTGGATGATGACAATTTGGATGTCAGTGTTTGGAAACATGTAGGAACAGACTGTAAACTGAATGCCTATTTGATGCCAAGGAGTGTTTCAAGTGCTGGATACGTCAGGAAACAAAGTCATAATCTCTCCCTCAATATTTTTGCAGTCTGAAAATAGGGAAGTGACAATCAAAAATAAACAAAGAAGATAATTCCAAGCACTAGTATGTACTATGAAGAAAGTAAAGGAGGTAATGTAGAGTTATTAGAATTAGGGAGTGTGTGATTTTAGCCAGGTTAGTTCTGGAAAATCTTTCTGAGGAAAATTTTTCTGACAATTAGGTTCAACATAAATGATGACAAGGAGGTTGCCATGCAGAGACTTGAAGAAATACTGTTCAAGGTAGAAGGAACACCAACTGCAAAGGCTCTGAGGTAGGAGTGAACTTGGTATGCTTAAGAAACAGGAGGAAGGTTAATGTTGTTGGAGCATATTCAGAGGGAAAATAGAAAGGTGTGAAATCAATATGGTAAGAAGTACCAAATTATCCCAGATCTTAGTGACTAGGGTCAGAATTTGGATTTTATTATAATTGCAGTGAGAAAGCATTGAGAAATCATTGAATTTAAGCACTGAATTTATTTCAGTGTTTAGATAGTGTAGTTCTGTGGGGTTAGAAATTAGTCATGCATGCATGATTGGTGGCTTGTGAGGGTAAGAGATTATCTTTCAGTGTCAAATAAACATGTTTAAATGTATATTTATTGGTATCAAAATTCTCCAATAGCTCCTCCACTTACCTGCAGGGGCACTCTGATATGATTGCTACTTTTAAAAAAAGTGTCTACTCTGAGGAAGCTATATTGCAAAAGACCAAAGTAGGTACAAGAAGATCAGTTAGAAGTTTAGGGCAATAGTCAAAGGCAAGAGGTAATGATGATTTAAAATAGGTTGTAGCAGAAAGATGAAAAGAAATCAGATTCAAAATACATCTGAGTATAAGCTTGTAGGATTGTTGATGAATTGATATGGATCATAAAGGAAGAGGAGAATCAGGCTCTACATCTAGACTTCTGGACTCAGGAATGGGATGGATGGTGATTCCATGTTCTGAGAAAGTGTAGTGTTGAAGGCCAGAGTAGTGAAAGTAAATGAGACGCATTCATGAAGTGGTTCTGTTTTAACCCATCAAGTTGCTCACTACACATCCAAGTAGAGATGTTGATTAGCCATTAGATATATGAATATAGAACATAAGAGAAGCCTGGGTCAGGGAACCATATTTGAAAGGTTTCAGGATGAAGATGGTATTTAAAACCATAAGATTGGCTCAGATCATGTAGGAAGAGAAGGTGGATAGGGGAACAGAAGAGGGACAAGGATAGAAACCTGAGTCACTTTGGTATTTAGAGGACAAAAACCAGAAGGAGAATGAGGCGTAATCACTGAGATAAAAGCATGCAGGTGTGGTATCAGAGAAGCATGGAGAAGATAGCTTTTCAAGATAATAAGAATAATCGTCATCTGCTCTTATGAGTCCCAAAATATGACCACACAGAACCTGACTTTGCTAAGATGTAGCTCACGGTTATTTCAGTTGATTAGGGCTCTGTCAGGGGAGTGAGGAGAGTGAAATCCCATTGGAATGAGTTGCAAGATACTGAAGTGGAAATAACAAAGATACATAACAATTATGAGGGATTTTGCTGGTAAAAGGAAGCAAAGCAATGCACATGACTCCATTGGCATGAAGTCAAGAGAGGGTTTTCTTCAGATTAATAACATTGAGGCAACTTTCAACATCACTGGAAATGATCCCATAGAAAGGGAGAAATAGATGACATAAAAGAGAGGTAATTGCAGGGAGGAAGTTCTTGAGAATGCAGCTGGGGTTGTGATGGAGAGCACAAATAAACTGGCATTAGGTGAGAGAAGAAGAAAAAATTCTTTTCATTTGAACAGAAGGGAAGATATACTACATGGGCTTTGGAATTGGTGATAGCAGGGCAAAGTACTTCTTTTTTGAATTTATTTTCTTTTTGAAGTATAAAGCAAATTCATTAGCTGAGAGTGGCAAAGTAGTAGTTTGCTTAAATAGATGATTTGAGGTAGTCATTCTGGAAAAAGAAAAGGTGAATTTCCTAGAGACAAGTAGTAGTGAGAAAGGAAACCACCACCTGGGGTGAAATTGGGCAACTATGGGTTAACTGTACAGCTAACCTCCCTGAGAAAGTTGGTGGCTGTGACCACAGCTATGTATAGATACAGCTATAATGTAATGTCAGTGGAGCATAACAGTCCTGGAAAGTCCTACCAGTTTCCCATTCCCTCTAGTGATTGCTCTGCTTTTGTTCTGTAATCATTTTGCTTGCTGTTGCCCAGGGATGAGAGATTTCCATGTAAAAATAGTATAAAAGTAAAAGCAAAGCCTTGCTCAGTGCCCTCAGGAGGACACTAGTCCCCTGTAGAGACACAGACATTGTTAAAATCATCCTTTTCTCCTACTCTGTGTTGGGGTGATTTGTTCTGTTAGGGATCCCATTCATTTTCCTGCCTCAGTAGGATTGCTGCACTGTATTGGATAGTATATATTTGAGGTATGTCTTATAAATCTGACATGGGTTTAGATAGTGTAGTTGTTTGACTTTTCTCTTGCAATGCTGAGCTGCAATCTTGCAGGTAGATCTTAAAAGAATTGTATTCAACCAAGGCTGAGGCTTTGGTAGGTAAGTATATCAGAGAAGAACAAGGAAATTAAAATGTTGAAGTTTTCAATGGCATTGAAATCTAAATAAGAAAGAAAGATAGTAAGCGTATCCAGGGGTGGAAGATGGTGAAAATAGTGGATCAGAGGGTACAATAAGTGTGAATAATTATTTAAGTGGAAGTATTAAAGGAAGTGAGCTTGCAGGACAAGAAATGATGGCCAGAAAGCAGAATGTTTTGGTGGGCAGAGGGCAGAGATTTTGGAGGTGATATAGTGATTTTAAGTTGTAAAGGTATGAAGGGATGATGACTAGGTGGCTGAGTTTGGGTGGGAAAAAAGATTGGCATCAGGAGAGAGGCTGGATTGTTGAATGGCTCTTTACATTTATACAGAGGGTATGTAGAATGAATGTCAGGAACTCTTGCAAAGAGGAACCTAGTGGTAAAGTTTTCAGTAAGTGAGGTAGGATGATTGCAAAAAAGAGTTCACAAAGGAAGTCTAAAATTGATGTGCTTAGACAGGCCTGCTTGCAAGGTTGACCTATTGTTGGCATCAAGGAAATTAGATTTTAGGAGTGTTCTCCCTATTTCCAGAACTGATAAGTGGCTCTCTTTGGCTGAAGGGATTTGACAATATAGTTTATGCTTTCCTATGGGAGTGTGAAGTTTTTGTAAGTACATGCAGAGAGCCCCTACCTGATCAAGTCCCCGGTAAAAATCTGCGGCACCAAGTCTCGTACGAACTTTCCTGATTACTTTAGCTTTTTCATCACTGGCACAAAATGTCCAACACCTGCAGCTTAAAGGAGAAGTTTAATTTGGCTCATGGTTTCAGAGGTTTCAAGGTGGGCTAGTTCCAAGGTAGAAACATCATGGTGGAAGAGCATGAAGGAACAAAGCTGTTCACTTCATGGTAGCCAGGAAGCAGAGCAGAAGAACAGTACCAGAAAGGAAGGGGCCAGGGATCACATACAGTACCACAGGTCACACCTCCACGATCCACCCAGCCACATCCAGAAATGTGGGTTAGCTGATCAAGTTGGCAGTCTAGCTTAACTATTGCCTGGTAGACAACATTTTAGATGTGTTGTCAAGACTCACTTCTGAGAGAATCAAACATGCCCTGTATGACTCCAATTGGAGAGGTCCCTTGGATGCTTGTGCCTGATTTTGTCTGGAGTTCATCCTATGATGATTAACAGATTTTGCTCTGAATTCCTTTGCTGTAATAAATCTCAGCGAGGAATACAGTTGTATGATGAGTCCTGTGACCCCGCATATTGAATCATTGAGCCAAGGAAGACTAATAGGTTAAAGTCTGGTAATACTCTAAAGGGATTTTGAAGATGATTTGAGAAATGGTTGAGGTAATCATTTACCTCATCTTCAGATCCTGAGGTACATAGGTCATGGGAAATAGACCATTTCTACTTGAGACTGCTACAAGGAAGCAGGATCCTCAGGAGACAGGTTGATTTTAGTTAAAACAAACTGGTGACAGAAATGGCTAAAAAGGTTGAAGATAAAGTGGAGTTTGTCGACAGGGATGAAGGTTTCTGTAACAGCCACTGTTTGAACGTTCTCTGGAATTGATCAGGGAGGGATGGGATGAAGGATATGGGCATCACAGGAAATAGAAATCTATATGTAATGTGAAACTTTGGAGGTTTGCTGGGGTTGGTCGTTTTGGAATATCAGGCTTGATGGTTAATACTCCTGTGCCAACTCATTGATAAGGAGGTGAGTGACAGTCAATAATGTGGCTTATTAGAAGTCAGTGACTAGAAGTCTGTGGGGTTAGAAATTAGTGATGCATGCATGATTGGTGGCTTGTGAGGGTAAGAGATTATCTTTCAGTGTCACATAAACATGTTTAAATGTATATTTATTAGTATCAAAATTCTCCAATAGCTCCTCCACTTACCTGCATCATAAGAGAGCTTCATCATGCTTTAGTTTCCCCTCTGCCTCCAACTCTTTCCAGTAACATTCTTGTTTATTTTTCTTACATAATATTTATTGATTTTAATGATATTTTTATGAGAGTTCCACAAGCACATTATCCAGGCACTTCGATTTAACTAGATATTTTACTAGCTGTACTATTCATAGCTTGCTCATATATTCTTTCTCAACATTGAAATTTTATTCTGATCCAATTTTTCTTTTAAAGATTCCCTTTTTCCTCCTTCCCTGCTTCTCTCTCCCTTTTTTTATATATCTAAAATATGTAGATAGTATAATTTCTGCATCTGTGTATTCCTAAGATGTCTACTTTTGTTTTGAAGCATAAATGATTTTTTGACAGATTATAAAAATCGTGTCTCAATTCTTTTACCTCAGAACTGTATAGACTGTAAATACTGCTTCATAGCCTTTAATTATCCATTCTTACAGAAGAAAAGATAAAGGATATTTCTTGTCTTCCTTTCCCCTATCCTTTCTTCCTTTCCTTCCTTTCCTTTTTTCTTTTCTTTTCTTTTCTTTCTTTCTTTTTTCTTTCTCCCTTTCTCTCTCTCCTTTCCAATATTCATATGATTTTATCCTCTTAAATAAACAAATTTACAATAGGAAAATTCGTTAGTACAGCACTTATTTCTTTTAAAAAGTACATTATTAGGCAGAGAATAGGTATCCTATAGACCAGTGATGGCAAACCTCTTAGAGCATTCAGTGATAACAAACAGCTAGTGGCAGTGTATGTGCCATAGATTATCCATCACTGCTATAGACCATGATGGTCAACAGTGAGTGGGGAAGGTAGAGACAAATTATCTTGTCCAAATCATTCACTGAATGTGGGTAAACTTAGACTGAACAGAACTATGCTATTACAGGGATCAGTAACACTCAAAGATGTGACTATGGCCTTTACTCAGAAGGAATGGGAGAAACTGGATCCTGCTCAAAGGGACCTGTACAAGGATGTGATGCTGGAGAACTACAGCAACCTAGCCTCAATGGGTAAGGACAGTCCCTTGTAATTCAAAATGTGTTCACTGTGGTGCCTTCTTCCTGAAGTCTTTTTTGAGTTTGGCCTTGACTTTTGGGGTCAAAGAGTTTTAATCTCTTTTGGCTATAGGGACGAATACTTGTACCAGTGTCTCCAAACAGAAAGTCTACTCAGCTGAGGTGCATGGGCTTCTACACTGTAAAACTTCAGGAGCCATGTATTCTTGAAAGACCCTGAAGTGCAAACAGTATGGCTTAATTTCTGAGATTATTGTTCTAACACTAAATTTCTACCATTTCCTATGAGCAGGGAATCAAGCTCCCAAACCAGACATGATCTGCAAGTTGGAAAAAGGAGAAGAACCATGGCCAGGGAAGGGGAAAAGATCCAGTCAAAACCATCTGAGTAAACCAGCAAGATCCAAGCAAACAGAAACCAGTGGAAGTAAGTTTTTGGTTTGTTGGTGGTAACTATGGAATTCTTCAAAGAATTATTTATTCTTAAATTCTTTTTAAAGACCCCAGACAAGTTTTTCTTAGCCAGGAAATAGCAATAGAAAAAATGTCAGAATCTCACAGGGAAAGAAGAGTTCAAATTACAAAGATTTCCAAGCCTTGGAGATTCTATCTCTTCCTTCTATGAATCTGCATACAAGAGGTTTTTATGTGAGGTCAACTCTACTAGTGAGCCAGTGGTGGTTGTGGGAGTTTGATTATACAATTTCTATCAGTCAGCTTAGACTAAATTTTGCTCTTTTAAGGAACCATCCCCAATTCCTCAGCTTACTGGGGACCTAAGCTGACAGCATTTTCTCTTTGGCAAATTCTGGTCTCATGACAGAGGGAAAAAGGGGTGAGTGTAACCAAACACATGGTAGCTCTTAAAAATCACTGCTTATAACTGGTAAAGAGCCCTTCCGGCTCTCATTTTATTGGTCGGAGCAAGCCACCTGGCCACCACTGAGTTCAGCAGGCTAGAAATGTACAATCCTTCCATAGAGAAGGGTGCTGTAATTGAAATGGCCATGCATTTGGGAGGAGCTGGGAGGAATTATCCTTCTATAGGGTACAATAATGTAGTTTGTCATAGCATTCAGACTGTGGTAGGAAAAGAGGTGAAAATCAGAGCTCTAAACCTTCAGTACCAGCCCTGCAGATGCCCGATTTCTCTGTATGGCTCTCTTTCCTTGTTCTCCATTGCTCAGCTTGCAGATCACCTCTTAGCTCTTCTCTTAATTGTATTCCTATTGACCTTATCTAAAGCAGTGCTTTGAAAATTCTCTTTTCTTTATATGCTTAGTTTTCCTCTCTTCCTCTAACCACACTCCTGTTCCTCAAGGTATCAGATTATCTCTTTATATATTTAGAGATTCTTAGGTCTGTCTTATTTCCATGTCTCTTGCCATGATGCTTCTGCCTTTCATGACTTTACATTTCTCTCTTCTGACTATGAAATGCTCCAGGCCTATGGTTTATAGCACATCATCAT